TACAATGTTTCAGGCTCCATTCGCTTGTCAATATGATCTGTGGAAATTTACGCATAATTTATAACAGTTCATTAATTAGTTGATTAATGATTTGTAAAGGTATTCAAAAACCCTAACAATTAATTGTAACCTTCGTTGTCTTATAGTCAGTGGCTGCGAAATATTGTAATTCATCTTATTGTTAAGGTGTCCAACATTTTCAGTCTTGCTTTCCCTTCTTATGATCAAAGGGAGATCACTCTTGTAACAGATCAATTTTGTATGGAAAATAGTGTTTTCAGAGACCCTAAACTTCTCTCCTGTAGTTGATTTTTAGCTCACCTGCCTGAAGGGCAAATGAGCTTATGTCATGGTGCAGTGTCTGTCCGTCGTCCGTCTTCCATCCATCAACTTTTCCTTTAACCCTTTGCCACATGCAAGCCAATACACTTGAACACTCTGTACTGATAGTGCCACGATACATTGTTGCACTGACTGAAGTGTGTATATGCCATCTCAATGGCAGTTTTTGAGAAATTAAGTTTTGTTTTGATTTGTTTTTTAGCTCACCTGGCACGAAGTGCCAAGTGAGCTTATGCCATGGCGCGGCGTCCGTCGTCCGTCCGTCCGTCGTCCGGCGTCAATATTTTACTTTAAACGACTTCTTCTTAATAACCGAAAGGCCTAGGGTGTCAGTATTTGGCCAGAAGCAAACTTAGATGAAGGGCTACAAAGTTTGTTCAAATAAATGACCTTCACCTATTTTCAAGGTCACAGGGGTCAAATATGTCAAAAACTTTAAACATCTTCTTCTCAATAACCAAAATGCCCAGGGAGATGATATTTGGCCAGTAGCATGCTTGGGTGAAGGGCTACCAAGTTTGTTCAAATGAATGACCTTCAATTATATTCAAGGTCACAGGGGTCAATTGTATTAAAAAACCTTTAAACAACTTCTTCTGAATAACCAAAATGCCCAGGGTAATGATATTTGGCCAGTAGCATGCTGAGATAAAGGGCTACAAAGTTTGTTCAAATAAATGACCTTCATCTATATTCAAGGTCACTGGTGTCAGATGTCTTTAAAATCTTCAAACAACTTCTTCTCAATAACCAAATGGCCCAGGGTACTGATATTGGGCCTGTAGCATGCTGGGATGAAGGGCTACCAAGTTTGTTCAAATAAATGACCTTGACCAACTTTCAAGGTCACAGGGGTCAAATGTCATAAAATCTTCAAACGACTTCTTCTCAATAACCAAAAGGGCCAGGGTACTGAAATTCAGCCTGTAGCATACTGGGATGAAGGATTACCAAGTTAGTTCAAATGAATGACCTTGACCAACTTTCAAAGGTCAAAGGGGTCAAATGTCATAAAATCTTCAAACGACTTCTTCTCAATAACCAAAAGGCCCAGGGTACTGATATTGGGCCTGTAGCATGCTGGGATGAAGGGCTACCAAGTTTGTTTAAATGAATGACATTGACCCACTTTCAAGGTCACTGGGGTCAGATGTCTTGAAAAATTTCAACAACTTCTTCTCAATAACCAAATGGCCCAGGATACTGATATTGGGCCTGTAGCATGCTGGGATAAAGGGCTACCAAGTTTGTTCAAATAAATGACCTTGACCAACTTTCAAGGTCACAGGGGTCAAATGTCATAAAACTTCAAACGACTTCTTCTCAATAACCAAAAGGCCCAGGGTACTGATATTGGGCCTGTAGCATGCTGGGATGAAGGACTATCAAGTTTGTTCAACTGAATGACCTTGACCAACTTTCAAGGTCACAGGGGTCAAATGTCGTAAAATCTTCAAGCGACTTCTTTTCAATAAGCAAAAGGGCCAGGGTACTGAAATTGGGCCTGTAGCATGCTGGGATGAAGGATTACCAAGTTAGTTCAAATGAATGACCTTGACCAACTTTCAAAGGTCAAAGGGGTCAAATGTCATAAAATCTTCAAACGACTTCTTCTCAATAAGCAAAAGGGCCAGGGTACTGAAATGACGCCTGTAGCATGCTGGGATGAAGGATTACCAAGTTAGTAAAAATGAATGACATTGACCCACTTTCAAGGTCACTGGGGTCAGATGTCTTAAAATCTTCAAACAACTTCTTCTCAATAACCAAAAGGCCCAGGGTACTGATATTGGGCCTGTAGCATGCTGGGATGAAGGACTATCAAGTTTGTTCAACTGAATGACCTTGACCAACTTTCAAGGTCACAGGGGTCAAATGTCGTAAAATCTTCAAGCGACTTCTTTTCAATAAGCAAAAGGGCCAGGGTACTGAAATTGGGCCTGTAGCATGCTGGGATGAAGGATTACCATGTTAGTTCAAATGAATGACCTTGATCCACTTTCAACCTAATGTCCTTGTTCGACAATCAAGGTCAGAGGCGTCATATGTTTAAATCTTTTAATAGGTTCTTATGAAATCTTAAGATTACAAGTGTTAGATTAATAACAGGTGAGCGATGCAGGCCCATTGGGCCTCTTGTCTAACCTTAATTTTGAAGCTGAAATAGTTGTTTCAAGCATTTTCAGTAAGTTAAAATTATGTTCAGAATTTCTTAAATTTTAATTCATTGCTATTTTCCTAATAAAAACATCAACACATAACCATGAAATCAGCTGTATGTATATCAGGATAGACACATTTTAAAATGTTTCATTTTGCTTTAATTATGATTTAATGAAATGACTCAACAATGATATTATCACTTCCAAATGAAACAACAAACCAAATTTCCAAAATTATCACAAGAAGTTTTAAAATACAGTGTATATTTAGGCCTATATAAAAGCTTTTATTGCGGCGGAATTTGTATCCGACCTTTTTTGGGTCAAATCAATTTTCGTTTTTCAAACGCCAGCGAGTGTAAAATTGTTTGTGTGTCTCGGGCTATGGTGGTGAACTGATTTTTATTGAAGAAAAGATAGAAATAATCAACGGGACCTGCAGTATCAACATCAACATTTTTCTGGAAGTATTAGCCCCGTTTTTCTAACAAAATCATTAAAATTGATCGGTGAAAAATCTCGAGACCATTCATTGTCGTCGTTACCTAATGCCGTAATGGCGGTGGCACACCCGGTTGCTGTTCATCTTTTACATAATCATTTTCGGACTTATTTCTGATGACAGTTCATTCAAAAACATCGTTAAGATCGATGTCTGACTCAATGTCATCAGGGCTGAAGCCATTAAACTATTAATCATCCTCCTCCTTCTCAAAAATGACCGTAACATAGATGTGACAGTCGCCATCACAGCTCGTTGTTGTGACACTTTTCTACACTCATGACTCGCAGTTTTGAAGTTAATTTATTCAAAACTATTCGTAGGAATGACGTGTACAAATCTGATTGGTCGATGCATTGATATCTTCTAAAAATAGTATAGGTGATTTCCAGATAGGTGTCGCTCTCAATCACAGAATTTTCCATGTCTAAGTTTACCGAAACGGCATGGCGTCGAGAGGCGCTAATTACATTGAGATAACGTAGCGGCGTTGAGAAGCGCTTACATTGAGATAATGTAGAGGCGTCGGGAAGCGCTTACATGTGGCAAGGGGTAAAGGCGTCCAGAGGCGCTTGCATGTGGCAAAGGGTTAAACAACTTCTGCAGGAGAACGTACAGGCCAAAAGTCATGATATTTGGCTGAAAGCTTCATTGGTAGGAGTTTGACAAAGTTTGAGAACGAAAAATGACCTTGACCTACTCTCAAGGTATCAGGGGTCAAATGTGTCAACCCCTTAAACGACTTATCCTGAAAACTGAAAGGTATAGCATCTTCATGATTGGCTGGTGGCAAATCCTGGGATAGAGGCCAACAAAGTTGCAAATGAAAATGACCTTGACCTACTTTCAGGGTCACAGGGGTCAAATTTGTTAAAAACAAAAAACTTCTTCTGAATAATTGAAAGGCATAGAACCATAATATTAGGCTGGTGGCTTCTTGGGATACAGCTCACCAAAATTTGAAAATAAAAATGACCTGAACCTACTTTAAAGGTCACAGAGGTCAACAACATTTCAAATGATTTGTTCTGAAGAACCAAGGGAAATGGATTCATAAGATTTGGGTAGTAGCTTCTTGGGATAGAGCCAACAAAGTTTGAGAAGGAAAATGACCTTAACCAACTTACAAGGTCACATGAAAAAATATGTCAAACACTTCCACCAACTTCTAAAGAAGAACCAAAAAGTATAGAATCATATAATAATATTTGACTGGTAGTTTCAACAGATGGAGCCGACAAAGTTTGGGAGTGAAACATTTTTAGTACAGTATGATATTAAATTAGAATATTTTGCTATGACTGCCTAAATATTCAGGTGAACGATACAGGCCCTCTTGGGCCTCTTGTTTATATCAAATAGATAAGGACTAATAACTGCACCTTGTCTTATTCCCGAAGCTAAAGATATCAATCAGTCAAAATCAATATATAGAATAATCCAATGAAATTGTGGTATACTAGAAATTTTCAATGAAAAGTTTCCATAGTGGCATGAGTGACCAATGAAACTTGGCTTATACATAAACACCCTAGAACTATTCTAGGCTGTTAAATTTCATACCATAGCTAATCCTGACCCACTAGCCATTTTGAAACAGACTGAAGCCTATCTAATCTAAGAAACATTTTCTGTTTTGTCTGCTCTTAGTTCTCCATACCAGCATATCATGTTTCAAGTAACTCTCAGCAATAACATTTCATCTTAAACATGTCCTAAAAGTGGGGGAAATGAATTGCATGAATTTGCTTGTTTCCATATATTCTTAGTATAAAAAATATGGAAATCGTTTTCCGCATTTCTCCATATTTCTCCAATAGAAAAAAATACGGAAAAATGTGGAGTTCCGCATAAATTTTGGAGACTTGAAGTGCAGGTTATGACCTTTAAAGTAGTTCTAAGCACTCAATATTCAAACATCATTTTGTTTGCCACTAAAATAAATAGCTTATCAGGTCAGCAATACTTTGAAACAAATTTCTTCTTTATTGCAGGTTTTGATTGTCGTAAAATGTATGCAGCATTTTTTCAGCTGGCTGTGAAATTTCAGAAGTAAGTGCATGAATTTCTTTGTGCAAAAAATATGAAATAATTATCTATTGTTAATAGTAGCAAACCCCATCGGGATTTGGATAACTTTCTTGTGATCTCTGTCAAACAGCAACATGATGTGTGAAAAAGCAAGGTTACCTCTTTGAAACGACAACAACATTAAAATAGTTAATGAATTACTATTGTGCTTGAATATGTTGATAATCACTCCATACTCCAATTTCAGAGTTCCTCGCACTAACCTGCTGCTGGCAATATGTTCTGTGATGTAAGTTTTCAATTTGTCAATAACTATACTGCAGAAACTTTAGTAATGACATCTTCACATACTTGTATATTATTAGTTATCTCTTGGTTAGGAGGGGTCTTTGGCCTCATACAGCAAGGGGTCTATAAAAACCAAAGGGGTCTATGAGCCCGTAGACCCCTCCTAACCAAGAGATAACGATTTTGTCATCCTGACAATCTTTAATTACTTTTACCTATTGCGATCGCCTTTTGTCCGGCGTTGTCCGTCGGCGTTGTACGGCGTGCCAGCATTTGTTTAATTTCCAGTGGAATTAATTCAAACTTGAATAGCATTATCAGTATTGGATAGCAGTTTGATGGTATGCACATATCAGCCCTGACTGACCCCCAGGGGCTGATGAGTGTGGCCAAAAAGGGGAGAATTGATTGAATTTCAAAAATCTTCTTCTCAAGACCAAGATATGGCAGAATCAAATACACTTCATAGATGGAAGGTTCTTAAGGTGCTTTATCCAAATTGTGAATTTCATAACCCTGGGGTGTCACGTTTACCCCTGGGGAGGGGGTAAACTTTACTATAGTTTAATTGTGAATTATATGGTCCCCAGCCCCCAGGAGCCTGAGGGGCGGGGCCAAAAAGGGTCAAATTGACTAAAATTTCAAAAATCTGCTTTTCAAGATCCAGATTTAGTAGAATCAAATATTCTTCATAGATGGAAGGGTCTGAAGGTGGTTTACCATAATTAAGCTGACTGACAGAACCACTATTTGTACATAGTTCATATACTACCCAGATCTTTCACACCACTTTTGCATTACGGTACATGTATTTCAAGTTACCTTTGCTACAAAATGATTTCTTTTTTATTTGGCCACTTTGATAACATCAGTTTTTACATAACTCAGGTGACCGTTAAGGCCCATATGCCTCTTGTTTAGCTCACCTGGCCCAAAGTACCAAGTGAGCTTCTGCCGTGGTGCGGCGACCGGCGTCCGGCTGGCTTCAACTTTTTACTTTAAATCAGTTTATTTGAATGAATGACCTTGACTTACATTCAAGGTCACAGGGATAAAATATATGTTAAACCTTTAAACAACTTCTTCTGAATAACCAAGAGGCCTAGGGTAATCATATTTGGCCAGTAATATGCTGGGATGAAGGGCTACCAAGTTTGTTCAAATGAATGACTTTGACTCATATTCAAGGTCACAGGGGTCAAATATGTGTAAAACATTTAAACAACTTCTTCCGAATAACAAAAAAGGCCCATGATGATAATATTTGGCCAGTTACATGCTGGGATGATGTGTTACCAAGTTTGTTCAAATGAATGACCTTATCTCATATTCAAGGTCACAGAGGTCAAATAGGTGTAAAACCTTTAAACATCTTCTGATCAACCAAGAGGCCAAGGGTGATGATATTTGGCCAGTAACATGCTTAGATGAACCTTTTAAAAATCTTCTTCTGAATAACAAGAAGGCCTAGGATGACAATATTTGACCAGTAATATAGTCAATTTTACAACAATTTGTTTACCAGGTGTGGTCATCATTGCATGCAGCACCACAGCTAAGTAGTGTGATGCCTGACCACTCTTTCCGCATCCTGTGTTATAATAACCTTTGCATCATTTCCAGGGTACTTTTCTTGTTGCTGTCAGCGATGGGTCTGACATACAAAATCCTCCTCCTCCAGGCCAAACTAGAAGCCAAAGATATTTGGCCGCCAGTCTCTCATACATCGTGGAGGTAACAATACTTGCTATGGCTTGTCGTTTGTAATTAAATGTCAAGTGTCACATAAATTGAGAGAATTTCTTACATTCATTGGATTATACAGAAATACAGGAAATCACATATTTAGCTCACCTGGCCCGAAGGGCATGCTTAAGCATGCCTTATGGCATGGTGCGGCGTCCAGCGTCCAGCGTCAACTTTTTACTTTAAACAACTACTTCTCAGTAACCAAAAGGCCTAGGATGGTATAGGTGGTATAGGAAGTAAATATGATGTAGGAGGGTATAGGTGGTATAGGAAGAATAGAAGGTAAAGGAAGTATAGATGGTATAGGAAGTTCAAGTGGTGTAGGAGGATAAAGTTAATAAAGCTGATGTAGGAGGATATAAGTGGTCTAGAAATATAGGTTGTATAGGAAGTGTAGATGACGTAGGAGGGTATAGGTGGTTTAGGAAGTATAGGTGATGTAGGAGGGTATAGGTGTAAAATGAAGTATAGGTGACGTAGGAGGGTATATGTGGTATAGGAAGTAAAGGTGATGTAGGAGGATATAGTTATTTAAAGTGATGTAGGAGGGTATAGATTGTTATAGAAAGTATGTGATGTAGGAGGGTATAGGTGGTATAGGAAGTAAAGGTGATGTAGAAGGGTTATGGTGGTATAGAAAGTAAAGGTGATGTAGGAGGGTATATGTGGTTTAGGAAGTATAGGTTATGTTGGAGGATATAGGTGGAAAATGAAGTTATGGTGACGTAGGAGGCTATAGAAAGTAAAGGTGACGTAGGAGGGTATATGTGGTATAGGAAGTATAGGTGATGTAGGAGGGTATAGAAAGTAAAGGGGATGTAGGAGGGTATATGTGGTTTAGGAAGTATAGGTGATATAGGAGGATATAGGTGGAAAATAAAGTTACGGTGACGTAGGAGGCTATAGAAAGTAAAGGTGACGTAGGATCGTAAAGATGGTATAGGAAGTATAGGTTATGTAGGAGGGGATAGGTGGTATATGAAGTATGAAAGTAAAGAAAGTAAAGATGAAGTAGGATGGCATAGTTGGTGTAAGAGGGTATAGATGATCTAGGAGGGTACAGGTGGTATAGGACGTAACATTGATGTAGGAGGATATATGTGGTATAGGAAGTAAAGGAGATGTAGGAGGGAATATGTGGTTTAGGAAGTATAGGTGAAATAGGAGGATATAGGTGGAAAATAAAGTTACGGTGACGTAGGAGGCTATAGAAAGTAAAGGTGACGTAGGAGGGTATATGTGGTATAGGGAGTAAAGGTGAAGTAGGAGGATATAGTTATTTAAAGTGATGTAGGAGGGTTTAGAAGGTTATAGGAAGTATATGTAATATAGGAGGATATAGGTTGTATAGGAAGTAAAGGTGATGTAGAAGGGTTATGGTGGTATAGAAAGTAAAGGTGATGTAGGAGGGTATACATTTGTATGTGGTTTAGGAAGTAAAGGTGATGTAGGAGGATATAGGTGGAAAATGAAGTTACGGTGACATAGGAGGCTATAGAAAGTAAAGGTGACGTTGGAGGGTATATGTGGTATAGGAAGGAAAGGTTATGTAGGAGGATATAGTTATTTAAAGTGATGTAGGAGGGTTAAGAAGGTTATAGGAAGTATATGTAATGTAGGAGGGTATAGGTGTTATAGGAAGTAAAGGTGACGTAGAAGGGTTATGGTGGTATATAAAGTAAAGGTGATGTAGGAGGATATAGGTGGAAAATGAAGTTACAGTGACGTAGGAGTCTATAGAAAGTAAAGGTGACGTGGGATCGTAAAGATGGTATAGGAAGTATAGGTTATGTAGGAGGGTATAGAAAGTATAGGAAGTAAAGGTGATGCAGGAAGTTATATGTGGTATATGAAGTAAAGGTAATGTAGGCAGTATAGTTGATGTTGGAGGATATATGTGTTTTAGGAAGTATAGATGATGTAGGAGGGTATAGGTGATTTCGGAAGTATAGGTTATGTAGGAGGGTATAGAAAGTAAAGTTGACGTAGGAAGGTATAGAAAGTAAAGGTGACGTAGGATCGTAAAGATGGTATAGGAAGTATAGGTTATGTAGGAGGGTATAGGTGATATATGAAGTTCAGATGACCTATGAAGGTCAAGAAAGGAAAGGTGATGTAGGATGGCATAGTAGGTGTAAGAGGGTATAGATGATCTAAAATACAGGTGGTATTGGACGTAATGTTGATGTAGGAGGGTATATGTGGTATAGGAAGTAAAGGTGATGTAGGAGGGTATGAAAAGTAAAGGTGACGTAGGAAGGTATAGAAAGTAAAGGTTACGTATAGGATAGTAAAGGTGGTATAGGAAGTATAGGTGATGTAGGAGGGCAAAGGGGTTATAGGACGTATATGTGATGTAGGAGGGTATAGGTGGTATATGACGTGTAGGTGATGTAGTAGGGTATATGTGATATATGAAGTAAAGGTGATGTAGGAGGATATAGGTGGAAAATGAAGTTACAGTGACGTAGGAGGCTAAAGAAAGTAAAGGTGACGTAGGAGGGTATATGTGGTATAGGAAGTAAAGGTGATGTAGGAGGATATAGTTATTTAAAGTGGTGTAGGAGGGTATAGATGGTTATAGCAAGTATATTTGATGTAGGAGGATATATGTGGTACAGGAAGTAAAGGTGACGTAGAAGGGTTATGGTGGTATAGAAAGTAAAGGTGATGTAGGAGGGTATAGAAAGTAAAGGTGACGTAGGATCGTAAAGATGGTATAGGAAGTATAGGTTATGTAGGAGGGTATAGGTGGTATATGAAGTATGAAAGTAAAGAAAGTAAAGATGACGTAGGATGGCATAGTTGGTGTAAGAGGGTATAGATGATCTAGGAGGGTACAGGTGGTATAGGACGTAACGTTGATGTAGGAGGATATATGTGGTATAGGAAGTAAAGGTGATGTAGGAGGGTATGAAAAGTAAAGGTGATGTAGGAAGGTACAGAAAGTAAAGGTTACATATAGGATAGTCAAGGTGGTATAGGAAGTATAGGTGATGTAGGAGGATATAGTTTAAAATTTAAAGTGATGTAGGAGGGTTTAGAAGGTTATAGGAAGTATGTTTTGTAGGAGGTATAAGTGGTATAGGAAGTAAAGGTGATGTAGAAGGGTTATGGTGGTATAGAAAGTAAAGGGGACGTAGGAGGGTATATGTGGTATAAGAAGTAAAGGTGATGTAGGAAGGTATATGTGGGATATGAAGTAAAGGTAATGTAGGCAGTACAGCTGATGCAGGAGGATATATGTGTTTTAGGAGGTATAGATGACGTAGGAGGGCATAGAAAGTAAAGGTGACGCAGGAGGGTATATGTGGTATAGGAAGGAAAGGTGATGTAGGAGGATATAGGTGGAAAATGAAGATACAGTGACGTAGGAGGCTATAGAAAGTAAACAGGAGGATATATGTGTTTTAGGAGGTATAGATGACGTAGGAGGGCATAGAAAGTAAAGGTGATGTAGGAAGGTATATGTGGTATATGAAGTAAAGGTAATGTAGGCAGTATAGTTGATGCAGGAGGATATATGTGTTTTAGGAAGTATAGATGACGTAGGAGGGTATAGAAAGTAAAGGTGACGTAGGAGGGTATATGTGGTATAGGAAGTAAAGGTGATGTAGGAGGATATAGCTATATATATAGGTGGAAAATGAAGTTACAGTGACGTAGGAGGCTATAGAAAGTAAAGGTGACGCAGGAGGGTATATGTGGTATAGGAAGTAAAGATGATGTAGAAGGATATAGTTATTTAAAGTGAGGTAGGAGGGTATAGATGGTTATAGCAAGTATATTTGATGTAGGAGGGGATATGTGGTATAGGAAGTGAAGGTGACGTAGAAGGGTTATGATGGTATAGAAAGTAAAGGTGATGTAGGAGGGTATAGAAAGTAAAGGTGACGTAGGATCGTAAAGATGGTATAGGAAGTATAGGTTATGTAGGAGGGTATAGGTGGTATATGAAGTTAAGATGAAGTATGAAGGTAAAGAAAGTAAATATGACGAAGGATGGCATAGTTGGTGTAAGAGGGTATAGATGACCTAGGAGGGTACAGGTGGTATAGGACGTAACATTGATGTAGGAGGATATATGTGGTATAGGAAGTAAAGGTGATGTAGGAGGGTATGAAAAGTAAAGGTGACGTAGGAAGGTATAGAAAGTAAAGGTTACATATAGGATAGTAAAGGTGGTATAGGAAGTATAGGTGATGTAGGAGGATATAGTTATTTAAAGTGATGTAGGAGGGTTTAGAAGGTGATAGGAAGTATATGTAATGTGGGAGGGTATAGGTGGTATAGGAAGTAAAGGTGAAGTAGAAGGGTTATGGTGGTATAGAAAGTAAAGGTAATGTAGGCAGTATAGTTGATGTAGGAGGATATATGTGTTTTAGGAAGTATAGATGACGTAGGAGGGTATAGGTGGTATAGGGAGCATAGGTTATGTAGGAGGGAGGGTATAGAAAGTAAAGTTGACGTAGGAAGGTATAGAAAGTAAAGATGACGTAGGATCGTAAAGATGGTATAGGAAGTATAGGTTATGTAGGAGGGTATAGGTGGTATATGAAGTTCAGATGACGTATGAAGGTAAAGAAAGTAAAGCTGACGTAGGATGGCATAGGTGGTGTTAGAGGGTATAGATGATCTAGGAGGTAACAGGTGGTATTGGACATAACGTTGATGTAGGAGGGTATATGTGGTATAGGAAGTAAAGGTGATGTAGGAGGGTATGAAAAGTAAAAGTGACGTAGGAAGGTATAGAAAGTAAAGGTTATGTATAGAATAGTATAGGTGGTATAGGAAGTATATGTGATGTAGGAGGGTAAAGGTGGAATAGGAAGATCAGGTGATGTAGGAGGGCAAAGGGGGTATAGGACGTATATGTAATGTAGGAGGTATAATGTGGTATATGACGTGTAGGTGATGTAGGAGGGTATATGTGATATAGGAAGTAAAGGTGATGTAGGAGGGTATAGGTGTTATAGGAAGTATAGGTGATGTAGGAGGGTAAAGGTGGAATAGGAAGTACAGGTGATGTAGGAGGGTAAAGGTGGAATAGGAAGTAAATGAGATGTAGGAGGGCAAAGGGGGTATAGGACGTATATGTGATGTAGGAGGGTATAGGTGGTATATGACGTGTAGGTGATGTAGTAGGGTATATGTGATGTAGGAAGTAAAGGTGATGTAGGAGGATATAGGTGGAAAATGAAGTTACAGTGACGTAGGAGGCTATAGAAAGTAAAGGTGACGCAGGAGGGTATATGTGGTATAGGAAGTAAAGATGATGTAGGAGGATATAGTTATTTAAAGTGATGTAGGAGGGTATAGATGGTTATAGCAAGTATATTTGATGTAGGAGGGTATATGTTTATATAGGAAGTAAAGGTGATGTAGAAGGGTTATGGTGGTATAGAAAGTAAAGGTGATGTAGGAGGGTATAGAAAGTAAAGGTGACGTAGGATCGTAAAGATGGTATAGGAAGTATAGGTTATGTAGGAGGGTATAGGTGGTATATGAAGTTAAGATGAAGTATGAAGGTAAAGAAAGTAAAGATGACGTAGGATGGCATAGTTGGTGTAAGAGGGTATAGATGACCTAGGAGGATACAGGTGGTATAGGACGTAACATTGATGTAGGAGGATATATGTGGTATAGGAAGTGAAGGTGATGTAGGAGGGTATGAAAAGTAAAGGTGACGTAGGAAGGTATAGAAAGTAAAGATTACATATAGGATAGTAAAGGTGGTATAGGAAGTAAAGGTGACGTAGAAGAGTTATGGTTGTATAGAAAGTAAAGGTGATGTAGGAGGGTATAGAATGTATAGGAAGTAAAGGTGATGTAGGAAGGTATATGTGGTATATGAAGTAAAGGTAATGTAGGCAGTATAGTTGATGTAGGAGGATATATGTGTTTTAGGAAGTATAGATGACATAGGAGGGTATAGGTGGTATAGGAAGCATAGGTTATGTAGGAGGGTATAGGTGGGTTCATAATCTTTAGCATTTCAGAATTAAGTAAGCAACATCAGAAGAAATGTTGTTGATACGCCTATAATACACCTCTATACCAAATTTCAATTAGATATTTGAAAAATTTATGATGAATTGAACTCGACTTACTTTCAAGGTCACAGGGGCCAAATGTGTCAAACACTTCAAACGACTTCTTCTGAAAAACAAAGGTATAGAATCCTCATATTTGGCTGGTGGCCTCCTAGGATAGAGGCCAACAAATTTTGAGAATGAAAATGACCTTGATCTACTTTCAAGGTCACAGGGGTCAAATGTGTCAAACTCTTCAAACGACTTCTTCTTAAGAACTGAAAGGAACAGAGTCTTTATTTTTGGCTGGTGGCTTCCTGGGATAGAGCCTGACAAAGGTTGAGAATGAAAATGACTTTGACGTACTTTCAAGGTCACAGCGGTCAAATATGTCAAAAGCTTCAAACAACTTCTTCTGAAGAACTGAAAGGTATAGAATCTTCATGTTTGGCTGATGGTTTCCTTGGGATGGAGCCCGACAAAGTGTAAGAATGAAAATGACTTTGACCTACTTTCAAGGTCACAGGGGTCAAATGTGTCAAACACTTCAAACAACTTCTTCTTAAGAACTGAAAGGTATAGAGTTTTTATTTTTGTCTGGTGTCTTCCTGGGATAGAGCCTGACAACGTTTGAGAATGAAAATGACTGACCTACTTTCAAGGTCACAGCGGTCAAATATGTCAAAAGCTTCAAACGACTTCTTCTGAATAACTAAAAGGTATAGAATCTTTTAGAAAAGGAAAATGACCTTGACCTACTTTCACAGTCACAGGGTCAAATATGTCAAAAGCATCAAACGACTTCTGAATAATCGAAGGACATAAAATTATAATATTTGGCTGGTGGCTTCCTGGGATAGAGCTCACCAAAGTTTGCAAATGAAAATTACCTCAACCTACTTTAAAGGTCACAGAAGTCAACAACATTTCAAAGAATTTGTTCTGAAGAACTAAAAGGAATGGATTTATAAGTTTTTACTGGTAGCTTTTTTGGATTGAGCTAACAAAGTTTGAGAAGGAAAATGACATTGACCTACTCACAAGGTCACAGGGTAAAATATGTCAAACAACTTCTGAAGAAGAACCAAAAAGCATAGAATCTTAAAATAATATTTGGCTGGTAGTTTCAACAGGTGGAGCCGCGAGGGAAATATTTGTAGTGCAATATAATATACATTTAATGAGAAGTTTTTGCTATGACCGCTTAAATATTCAGGTGAGCGATACAGGCCCTCTGGGCAGCTTGTTACTATCGGCGGCATTAATGTGAATAGAACTCTACAAACTGTGAATGTCTTCAAACTAATCTCCATCTAGAGCTCTAAATTAATCTTAAAATTGTACATGTACGTAGATCGTTTAGCTGAACATAGTCAGCCCGGATCATATTGCTGTATAAACATTGTTTCACTGACTTGCTGTGATGGTAACAATTATTAGCTCACCTGGCACGAAGTGCCATGTGAACTTATGCCGTGGCGCGGCGTCCTTCTGTCCGTCCGTCTGTCCGTCCGTCTGTCTGTCCGGTGTCCGGTGTCAATATTTTACTTTAAATGACTTCTTCTTAATAACCAAAAGGCACAGGGTGATGATATTTGGCCAGAAGCAAACTGAGATGAAGGGCTACAAAGTTTGTTAAAATTAATGAACTTCACCCATTTTCAAGGTCACAGGGGTCAAATATGTTTAAAACTTTAAACATCTTCTACTCAATAACCAAACTGCCCTGGGAGATGATATTTGGCCAGTAGCATGCTTGGGTGAAGGGCTACCAGGTTTGTTCAAATGAATGACCTTCAATTATATTCAAGGTCACAGGGGTCAATTGTCTTAAAAAACCTTGAAACAACTTCTTCTGAATAACCAAAATGCCCAGGGTGATGATATTTGGCCAGTAGCATGCTGAAATGAACGGCTACCAAGTTTGTTCAAATGAATGGCCTTCCCCTATATTCAAGGTCACAGGGGTCAAATATGTTGAAAACATTAAACAACTTCTTCTGAATAACCAAAATGCACAGGGTGATGATACTTGCTCAGTAGCATGCTGTGATGAAGGGATACCAAGTTTGTTCAAATGAATGACCTTCACCCATATTCAAGGTCACAGGGGTCAAATATGTTAAAAACTTAAAACAACTTCCTTTGAATAACCAAAATGCCCATGGTGATGATATTTGGCCAGTAGCATGCTGAGATGAAGGGCTAAAAAGTTTGTTGAAATGAAAGACTTTCACCCATATTCAAGGTGACAGGGGTCAAATTTGTTAAAAACTTTAAACAACTTCTTCTGAATAACCAAAATGCCCTGGGTGATGATATTTAGTCAGTAGCATACTTGGATCAAGGGCTACCAAGGTTGTTTAAATGTATGACCTTGAATCATATTCAAGGTCACAAGGAGCAAATATGTTCAAAATATTTAACGAACTTGTTCTGAATAACCAAAAGGCTCAGGATGTTGATATTTGGTCAGTAGCATATGCTGGGATCAAGGACTACTATGTTTGTTAAAGTGAATGACTTTGACTTATATTCAAGGTCACAGTGGTCAAATTTGTTTAAAATCTTTAAACAACCTCTTCTGAATAACCATAGGTCCCAGGATGTTGATACTTTGCAAGTTGCATCCTGAGATGAAAGGCTATAAAATTTGTTTAACATAATAACTTTGTTCGACTTTCAATCACAGGGGTGAAATGTTTTAAAAAAAATTAACAGGGTCTTTTGAATGAATTTTAATCATAAATACTGATATTTTTCCTGTAGCTTTATTTTAGATCACTTTTAAGGTTACAAGTGTGAGATTTATACCAGGTGAGCAATGCAGGCCCATTGGGTCTCTTGTATTACTTTATATTGAAACATTTGCACCAGAATGATTATATTTAGCTGACCTGGCCCGAAGGGTTTTTTGGCTAGTAGCATGCTGGGGTGAAGGGCTACCAAGTTTGTTCAAATGACTGATCTTCGTCCATTTTCAAGGTCACAGGGGTCAATTGTCTTAAAAAAATCTTTATACAACTTCTTCTGAATAACTAAGAGGCCTAGGCTAATG